CCCCCCCCCCCCCCCCCAAACTAAACTAAATTAAAAACAAACCACACATAAAATAAAGGCTATGACTGAAAGCTACATGTGCACCACTACAAGCCCAGAGGAGACCCAGGGTCAAGTAGCTGCAGTGACTGTCTGCTATTTGAGTTCAGGGCTGGAGAATGGTCTTTGGCCCTGCTTTACTTAGTAGTGTAGATGTAGCCAAAGGGTCTCAAATTGGGCTTGGACACTGCCAAAACTGTTATCTCTGAAGCTCTGCTCTATTCAACTTCCAGGTGTTCTGGTTTCTACATCTAGGAAGGAGAGCTAAGATTCATCTGATCTGAATCACAGGTTAGATGAGAAATTAAATGGGATTTGAGACGGAGCAGCTGAAACTTGTCAGTGGCAGCTCTGAGTGCAGATCCTCTCCTGCGTGGGAAGAGAACTAGAGCTCTTTGCTAATTAACTGAGCCTTGCAACACCCAAGGGAAACAGGGGAATGGACTCCAAGGTGCAGTGAAGGAGGCCCAGGTCTTGACATGGGGATAAGCTATAGCAGGGAATTTAAAGAGATGAAAGAAAAAAACATACAGTAGCTGCACTGTGTCAAATCCGAAAAGCATGTAAGGACTAATTATTCCATTAAGGGTGTACATGGTGAAAAGTGAATGAAGAAGTTTCTCAAATTGTGGATTCTTTGCTTTAGCACTCTTCCTGCGTTACAGTTCAGGACAGTCAGCAGTTCCGATGTCACTGATCTCATGTCATGTCACACCACAGGGCAACTGCCAGTTCTTGGAAAAGGACTGAGTTATATCATTTGAAAATGTAAATACTATCACTCCCATCGTAAAGTGTAGGCAGTGAATAAACCACAGACAGTGCAGGTTGTGGGGTGTGGCTACTGATGGCTCTCCCTTCTGTTTCTAAATAAAAAGTTTTTAAACTTCACCATGAGATGACAGCCACCCTTTATCACTGAAGGCCAGCTGTTTCTTCAGCACTCAGCTGTTCCTGCTGCATGTTCGCCGAAATGGAAAAAAGCTATTTAGAGACGCAAATCTGCAAAGCCTTTGGGCATATGTGTATGCCCTTCAGTTCTTAAACTAATTCAGTCTGATCTTCTTTCACATCTCTTTTACACCTGTGCATCCACACTGACCTTACCAAAGCCAGTCCTAGTTCTTACTGGTATTAAAAAAATTCGTTCTAGAGATTTTAGAAGTTTTTATGGTGTCTCCTGAGAAAGACTCAGCTGAATTCACTAATCTTGGTAAAACTATTATAAGTTCTCTAATATACTGTTGCACACTGTGTAAAATAGCTCCTTCAGTGCAAATCGACAGGTAAATGTTTGTCAGCATTTGTCCAGTATGAGAGAATCCACAGTGTCCCTTCTAAACTCACGTGGATAAAACATTTACTTTGGATATCATCATCAGGAGGGGTGTGTGTGTGGGGGGGGGTGTGTGGGTGGGTGCGTGTGTGTGTCTGTGTGTGCCTGTGTGTGTCTGTTGTGTTTGGATCTGCACGCACATGTGTCTCTGTGGTTATGCACATGCTCCTTGTTTAAACAAACTAATATGCCTCATGCTCTAGGCAGAGAACCACCATGAACAGAAATCAGCTGTTTCTGTGACAGTACTAGGTCCTATCTTGCAGTCCTTAACAGCACTGTGTAACACTTACTCATGCACGTAGTCCACAGCTGGCTTCAGAGGCCCGTCCCTTCCTGAAGCACTCCGTCAGCACAGGGAAGGGTGTGTTGTGCAAGGCCCTGGAGAGTGCAAACACCAATGCAAAATTGTGCTTCATCATCTTAAAACTGTCTTCAAAAGAAATACTTTAGTCTATATATAAGAGGAGAAAGTGGAATCACATTGAGTCTTTTACCACAGGAAAGGTTAAATGTGTTGGGCTTGGGTCTTAGGGGGTGCAAGGGAGGGCAATGGCTTAAGCAATATACAGTAGAGCCAGCAATGGCAATCGTTATCACATTCATCTTGCTTTCTGACACAGCTTGTGTATAACACAGTTTAAAGATATATGTAGACACATAGCCTAACAGACATGATAGATGCTCTGAAAACTTGAGATAGTGCTAGATCACTGTGGCTGCAGCTGAGAACAAGCTTTGCCCTAGCTGTATGTCTCTGCATTTTCTTTACTACATGTCCTCTGCACGTGGTCAGGCAAAGGGAACTGTCTTTCTTATATGGCCAACACAGACCCACGCATACATAGTTTCATGTTATTCCATAACAGGGAGCAATGTCAAACAGTGTCTAAGTCTACTTTCAGTTAAGTCAACAGAAAAACTCCCATACATTTCAATGAAAAGGGACAGGTTTTACACTGAAGATGTTACTGTCTCTCCTCGTGCAGCAGAATTTCAACAGTTCAAGCAGCAAGTGAAAAATCTTGGAGCAATTTTTTACTGACGCAATCAATACACCACATTCTCTTCTGTCTTGTAACTCATGGAGTCACTTACTCTTCTTCCAAGCAGATATAAAATTCTCTTAAATTACAATCACAATGCCGTTTTCTTTACTTCCATGTATCTTGTCTCATTCTTGATACCTGGGTGAAATGGCTGTGAAACACTATCTGTTTCAGAAATGTCCTACAGCTATTACACTAGCATACCTGAAGCAAAATGGTAGGGACTAGTAAAAATATCGGGTGCAATGTGTATGTGGTTTTACCACAATCCTGTAAAAAAGGTAAAGTGTAACCCTTATTTCAAGCTGAACGGCTACTCTCTTAAAGGGAAACTGTTGCCTCTCTGCTGAACTCATAGGAGTCAACATCTTTTGCCAAGGAACAAACATAGTGGACAATATTCTGCAACCCTCCTATATGCTGAATAGCTCTTATTCAAATAGTTCAATTAAAATCTGTGGGCCCGCTTGTGTGCATAAGTGCTACTCTGCATGAGGACTGATTACAGGCTTCAGCCCTTTTGGCCTGAAGATGTACTCATGTCTGATCACAGCACAGCCTAAAATGTATCTATTTTAAAATGTCTTGCTCATGCTAAAATAAATGGGTTTTTAGGCAACAGCTGTGCAGCAGCTATCTGAAATAAGGTTGCACAGTGAACAGTGCAGACAGTATGGTGTGGACAGGAAAGGTGCTGAGCTTCTTCCTGTTCAGTGTAGTCTGCACGTTAGGAGCCAGACTATTCTGGTAGATGATTTCTGTGCATCGAGATGACAAAAGGCAGCTGAATACGCTGGCAAGGGTTGGGAAGCTGGCAGATGATCCTGACTGCTTTTGTGAGAGCTTTTCCCTGTTTTCTTTTCCTTCAGGTTAGAAGATTTTGTTGTATATTGTTTAGTAATTCTTTTAAATCTCTGTACACAGTTTTGCAGTACTGCTGTCTTATTTTCTCGCCTGCACACTGCAAGGGGTCACAAGCATAGGTACCAGACACATTTTTACACAGATCTCTGGCATCCTAATTTTTATCATCTGTTTCATGCCGATTCACTTCTTTCCATACGTGTCACTATGAGAGCATGAGATTTTTTTCCTTCAGTCAGCCAACATTCTTCTGAATTATATCCCTGATCATAAGCAGAAACAGTACTGAAAGCTGCTTGAAACGTTAAGCTAGCTTCAGGAATCCCCTTGCGCGCTGGTGGCGAGCGGAAATCTTGCAGGTACGTCGATACCC